TATCTCTTTCACATGAACTAAGGTTTATAAATCTCACTTGAACGCACAATATCTAACTATGGGATAGGAATAAGGGGATCATTTCACAATGTAGTGGCTTGGCAACGCTCTTATCTTTGAACATAAGTTAAGATCCTTAAGGTTTATAACATTTTCATGTTATCTGAAATTGGAATCTTACCCCAGAAATTACATAAGGTTTATAACATCTTCATGTTATCACACATTGGGATTTTCCCCCAAAAAATACACACGAATCATAACATTTTCATGTTATCATAAGTAGGGATCTATCCCATGAAATATGTCACAAGTTGGGATCCTCCCCAATACATAACATTAACATGTTATCAATTGAACTTATGATGTTACCCAAGAATTTTGTCAAGGTTTATACCTAAACAGGTTATCCTAAGAAGGGAATTCCCCTGTATGATCTAATGATTAAATATCGTCATCACTAAGGATCCTCATCATTAAGGATCCTCATCCTTAAGGATCCTCATCATTAAGGATCCTCACCATATGGATCCTCATCAGTAAGAACCTTATCATCAGAAGTCAATAACGATCCTAAGTTCTTTCCTAAGTTGATATTTATCCTCAATAAATTCTAAGATTGAAAAGCTTATGAAGCTTAAGGAAAAACTTGAAGACAATCAGGTTCCATCTATCCTTATTCTCGAAAAGTCTAAGTAAAGTTTAAGGATCCTGAACTTTCTAGGATCCTAAACAAAAATTATTTTGTTATCAAAATTCAAGTATACTAAAAATGATTCACTAAAAGAATTTTGTCTCAGGATTGTTTGTAGGAACCAAGTTTTCCAGGATCCTGATTATTTAAGGATCCTAGTATCGTAACAATCATGCAGAAAAATCAAGAGAGAGATATAAAAAGAAAACACAAACATTGCATTCAAAAGGGGTTGCGCACCAACCCAACCAAAAGATTAATTGCTTTACATTACTGATGAAAACAAAAACTACCTAAACTAACGTTTTGCAGGCCTAGACCTTAGCCTGGTCATTATCGGCTGCATCCTTCTTCTCCCATCCTTTGGTCAGCCGAAAATAGGATCCTGATTGGCGGTAGCAGGCTTTCCAGTCAATTTGGTCAGTGCCTCGCGCCAACCGTCCACATCCTAGGAACCTGCATTCTCCAGATCCTCCTCAAGAAGGATCTTGGCCTCCCAAACAGCCACCGCAGCACTGACCTTTGCATCAGAGATCACTTCCTCCATCTCGAGCAAGTACTCCTACTCCTTTTCAGCCTTCTCCTTGCTGAGCAGCTCCACTCTCCTCAATAGATCCTCGTTGGTCGCTTTCTACATCCTTCCTGTCCCTGAAGGGCTTGTTCAGCCCTCTCCGCTCGGATCCTTAGATCAGTGGAAACATGATCAGAGACATAAAACAAAGACATAGTGGGTCAGCAAAAGGTAGAATAAAAGATAGAACGAGAATAAAACCAACACTTACAGCTTGGGAGAAAGAGACCAATTTCTGGAGCGCTTCCTCAGCCCCATGGCTCTCCAAAGATAGACCTGCATACTCAACAGTTTTCCTTTTCCGGGATCCCGGGGTCTTCATTGTCAAATCAACGGACGGTCTTTTGGGAGGAGGAGAAGATGAGATCTTCTCCTTTTTCACCGTCAGCTGATCCTTCGACATGGTTGTGTCAAGATCAGCGAGTGTGAAGCGAGCACTGGAGCGAGTGACTTTGGATCCTATATAAATATATAACAGAAGACTATTAAAAACCTTCATCACAAGCGAAAGGAATCAAGGGTCCTTACCTGTCGACATGAGGTCAATGGCAGAAGAGCATTCTTGCAGAGTGGCTTGATCAAATCGAAAGGATCTCTCAGCTTCAGACAGGGCCAAGAACTTCTCGATCTTCTCTTCAGATTCCTCGGTAATAGGGACGAGCTCTTTGAATTTGAAAGCTGCAAAAAAAAACAAAAAAAATAAGAAGATGTGAATTCCAGAATCCTTATATTAATATAAAAGAATCCTACCCTTCTTGACCCAGACATTCGACAGGAGATCCCCACTAGGAATAGAGTTACGTCTCACAAAAAGGTATTTTTCTTTCCAAGCTCCGTCATTATGCTTGGTTTTCAGGACTAGAGGAGTTCTGTGGGTTTTGACTTTGAGGAGAAAGAGAGAATTCCCGAAGGTTGTGAGATCATACATGCAGGCCGGTTCAGGAAGACCTATACCAAGGCCTTTTGACTGATTTACTTGGTCAATCCAGTATAGGATCCTCCAAACAATCGGCATGGCCTGAATATATGAGACCCCAGTCACCCTGAAGAATTCAGAGACAATCCCAGGGAAAGGGTATTTCAAACCCAGGGAGAAGGGGTATTCGGGGAAGCACACCCAGGTAGGAGAAACAAAGTCAGGTTGGATGAGAGTGTCAACGGGCCTAAAAACGGCTTTAGGAGGGAAGGCTCCATTGAGTCTCAAAGACTCAATATCATTGTCGCCAAAGGAACAAGTATCCTCGTATGAGAGAATCCATTGGTCGATGAAGTCGTCTTCAGGGAGAGCTAAGATGTTTTTGCGAGAAACGGCCATTTTTCTAACCATGATAGAAGAAGTAAAAACATCGAAGAAAAAGAGATAATTACCTTCTAATAAATCGCCGGTAATTGAAAGATAGCAAGGGAGAGTAAATAAAATCATGAGACAAACCATCTCTATTTATACTGAACTAACAGCTGATTTGACCGCTTGATAACGGCTAGTAATCCATCCGTTAGAATTTGAATTATTCTAGCCGTTAAGGGTTAAAATTTAAAAATTACTATTATCTCTTTTCATTTATTTACTTTAAGTTATTCCTTCAATATTATCGAAACTAACTCACTTATTTTCAGGAATAACTTGGGGGCAATTGTTAGGGCCAGGATCCTCAAAGCATTTAGGATCCTCAAACCTCATCAGATATTCAGGATCCTCAACTATCTTAGGATCTCGGGTATTACCGTTATTATTATTTACTAACATTTATAACGGTTATATTTCATTCTTAACTAACACATGTGCATAAATAGTCAACAGAAGACTTATTCTCAACAGAGTTTTGTCACAACTATGCTAAAGACTCGGAATACCAAGTCAATCAACGTTCACAAAGCTGGTCATAGAGGATCCCGGGAATAATAGACATCTTGTTAGCTAGTTTAGATTATAAATTGACACATGTATCTCGCACACGACACACTCTACTTACTCTTAGCTTACTCTACAAACTTTTTCACATGTTCTTACTGAAATACTCTTTGTAATCGTCATTTTATATTAATAAAATCATCAAGGCAGGTGATCATTATCACCTCCCAAGGTTTTATACCGGAGATCCTAGCAAGGATCAAGGGATTTCCTTATAGACAATCGTGTCAGTCTCCTTACCTTTTTCTATTTCACAATTCAAACATCACAACCTCTCATTCAATTTGGTTGATTTATACTTGTGTAATTTTTGACCAAATCACCTATTATCTGTGTTCCTGATATCTATGCTAGATGAACAATTTATACATGTTTTACTTGATTTAAACTGTATATGTATTTTTATACCTATAAATAGATTGGGTAAAGATGGGTAGATGAAAGATGATATAGATAATGAGAGATGGAAGATGATATAAATGATGAGCGATGAAAGATGAAATGAATGATGAGAGGACTTGACTTTAAAGATGACATTATCTGGCAGAGTATAGATGACAACCACATACTATTCTAGACAGTCCAGTGGAATGCTAGCAGGCTCGCAACCTGTAGGTGTTTGTGAACCATGTGTTCATCAGATGTACTCTAAAAACCCATTGACGTGTATTGTGGGTGGACTCCCTAAAATAGTACTATCATAAAAGAAGATAAACCCTGGCAGCTATGGACTTAGTGCCTATTAGATAAACACTGGCAGTTATGGACTTAGTGCCTAATAGATAACACTGGAAGCTATGGACTTAGTGCCTATTAGATGAACCCTAGCAACGATGGACTCCATGCCTATTCCTTAAGACAAATCCTTAGGATTAAATATAAAAGAATACCTATTGACAAGTATCATGGAGGAATCCCTGAACTAGTACTATCAGCATAGATGATCCTTAGGGTAGATCCTTAAGAATAAAGAAGATAACGGGAATGAGAAATTAGGTTAATTTTTTGATGATTAAACATATTGATTATATTATTGTGGGTTGAAAACCCTATGTACTTTCCAGGTTTCCCAACCTGACCCACTCAGTTTATTGTATCATACGTAGTGATATTAAAGATACATTATGCTGAGAGATTCAAGGAGTATTAGGCCACTAGTTTAATTACTGTAAGCCTTGTAATATTTCGTTATGTGTATGTTTCTGTATTGATGATGACATCCCAACGTTTTAATATAAATAAAATACATTTCCTCGGAAATGATTTGATAATATCATTATCATGTTTTTGGGAACAAATTCTGCAATATTATTCTTCAAAAAGGATACTCTGATTTTTAAATAAGCATAAACAAATCGGTCTTTTCTGGCCGTGAAATTAGGGGTGTCACATCAGACCTATCACATTATGCTTGACTGGGTTCACATTGTTCCTTCACTGGCCTTCCTTTCTTCTTTGGTGGCATAGATACCACACATCTATTTCCTTTCCCTTCTAACTTATCCTATATATACCACACATTTATACCTTTGTCTGATGCCATTTCCTTTCCCTTCTAAATTGTCCTATAGATACCACACACCTATACCGTTGTCTGATGTCATCAATCATTTCCTGAAGTTTCATCTTTGGCTTATTTGCAACTTCAGTCATATAATGTCTTCCAATCCATTTAGGGGAAACAATGGATCCAAACTTAAACTGCCTAGAACATTCATGGCCACCATTCATAACTTTGATATGAAAAAATCTTTCTTTGTACATCCATGCAACATAAAGTCTGAAAGGGCATTTACTCTCCTCCTTCCTCTTGCCACATCTAGCTACAATTCTTTTACTATCACATTTTTCGAAGTATATTCTATAACCATGTGACATGCATAATTGGTGACATAAAACTTCAGTTGGGCAGGAGATTCAAAGATTTCACCAAGCTTTGGTACCATCTTGTCCCACTTGATGGTTGGGTCATGAATTCTATAGTTGGTTTTCAATACCTCATGTTTGTCTTCATCACTCTTCCAATCAGTAGCATGGTACACGTATGCTCTGATTTCATCCGCCATACTAGAATTTTGTAGGTTTTTATCACTTAATAAGAACTTTTAGGAAGATATCCTTACATTTATCTACTGAGTACACAAATTCTTCCTCTGGTTCGTGGTCCATGTAAATGTCGTGGAGCTCAAAATCCATTTCACTCAAGCCAGATAAAGGCTCATGTATGCCAGCAAAGGGGTCAGCGTACCCTTCGTCTGATGAAGCCATTACACCCTCCTGCATAAACATACTAAGTTTAGGAACCCATTTCAAGAAACGTTGAATGTAAACACAACAAGATCATGACCTGTAAAAACCTTACCTTTCGAAGAACAATTTTACCCTTATCGTCTCCAAGAAAACCCTCTTTTGTAAAGCTTTTCTCCGTGTTCAGTCAATGGAATGGGAAAAGGTGAAAAGTGATCGGGATATAGAGGGAGGATGAGGATGCGACAATTTAACGTCCCTAACGAACTTGGGGTTTTCTCTCAAATGGCGTTAATGAGCCTTCCAGCTAAGAAAGTGGTTATTGGTTGATTAATGGGAAACCGGTTAATAGGCAAAAAATGACCCATTTAATGCAAGTTTGAGGTAAAAAAAGACATAAATTTGTAATTTGGGTAAATCGGACAATTTTGTGCAAACTTGAGGGTTTTTATGCCATTATCCCTTTTCATAAATTTTGTTTATTATTAGATTATGACAAAATTACATAAATGGTCTATATGGATTATTAAAAGTCACAACTTCAGTTCCTATTAATTTTTTTGATGAACGTGGTCCATATGGTATCTATTTCTTGTATGGTTGGTCCCTATGGTTTCATTTTATTACAAATTTGATATGAAATTACTATTTTACCCTTCATTAAAAAATTTATTGATTTTTATTAACTATTTTTATAATTATCTAAATTAAAAAACATAACAATATATCTCTAACCCTACCCACCTGATGTGTGCATAATTATCTACATATTTAATGCATATTTCTAATACTTTTAGCTACAATTATGCTTAATATGGAACAAAAGATACTTATTATGTCTAAAATATGTTTTGTAGTGGAAAAGACTTGCTCGGGACAAAAAATGGAGCATACGAGGAACTGGAAGCAGGAAACGGGAGCTAAAACAAAAGAAGAAAAGAAGAAGACTGAAGACCACATTGTGGTGACATGACCACGATGTGGTGAATTGGATATTCAGGATCATCATGTTGACTTGGCAGACACAGGATTACACGAAGACCACGTCATGGTAGCGGTCAACCACGACGTGGTGGTTAGATTTCCACAATTATAAAATCCCGGACATTAGGTCGAAATTAGGGGGATGCATTCGGTTGTTAGAGGTTAATTGCGACTAAGAACCCTTATAAAACCAGAAGAATATCGAAATTGAAGTGAAGCTCAAGATTTGAAGAATATTTATAAGGAATTCAACATTGATATAGTTGGTTTACTTATTAAACTTATTTCTAGCTTATTTTACTTAGATCTAATGTCTTTTTCTGCTACAATGAGAGGCTAAACACCTTTTACTTCTGTTTGGTGAAGATGAACTTGATACTTATGTGTTGATTTTGATTTTGGATGATTATATTTGATTTTACTTGTGTTTGATATATATATATATATATATATATATATATATATATATATATATAAACCCTATCATGTTTTAGTTCTAGTTTATATTACTTATAAATCAGATTTTGTGTGTTAATTGATCATATTAATTACACGAATCTATCTCTTAATTGTTTATGATCATTAAATAATTAGAGCTAGGATTAATAACATCTTAGTTTAAGTAGTTAAAGCTAGTAACTTTAAATGTGTTAGAGAGCATAATTAGTATTGATTTGTGCTTGGTTGCTTGAAATGATCATAGGAGAGTAGCTCATATCATTCATAGTCCAATTGTGCTATTATCAATTTAGTGTTTAACTTGTGCATGATCATTGCCTTTTCATTTATAAATTTGTAGGCCTTGATTGCTATTTAAGGAATATTATGATTAGGGTTTGCTCTCAACTCCAGCTTCCATCCTTTTTAGATGTGAATTTTCTCACTATACATTGTATTGCAGTATGTATCATTTGTAGGTTAGGATGTTGATATGTTGTAGTAATATATTATATAGGTAGATGGTTATGATTACCCATGTTTACATTTTATTGTTTATTTGTATATATCGACATATTTTGGTTAGGTTGAGGTGGTCCAATTGTGTGTTGTAGGCCAAGAGGCCCGGGCGATCCAGTTCATACTGTAGGTCCAAGAAGTGCAGCTTGACTTGGTTGTTGTAGGCTCCGATGGTGAACCGGCCTTATGATGTAGGCCTTGTGTGCATGTAATGTAACATCTCAAAAATCACGATAAAATATTTCATTTTTAAATCAAGGGGAATCATTGTTTTCAGACAAAACCCAAATCAAAACCAAACGTTTACAAAACATTGTTCTCAAAAATAGAAATCATATATATCAGAGTGTCCCAAATCAGTATCATCAAAACCAAGAGGATGTGCACGATTGTGCCTTTGCTTTCCCACGGTCATCTGGAGTACCTGAAACATAAAACTGTAAGCCACAACTTAGTGAGTTCACCCAAAGTACCACCACACAAACATATAACAACATGCATATTTGGTCCACAACTAACTGACTGGATTACCCCTGAGTCCACAGTATGCGTCTAGCTTACCTTCCAGCCCACAAATCATGTCTGACTTACTCCTGAGCCCACAACATAAGTTTGGCTTGTCTTACTGGCCCACAACTTATGTGTGGCTTGCTCCTGAGCCCACAACATAAGTCCGGATTGCCTTTTCGGCCCTCAACTTATGTCCAAATTGCGCTCGATTTTGTTGGCTTCCGCACAGAGCAGTATTGCCTCAACCCAACCGCACTATGTCAACATATATATAATAGATAACATATATCCATTAAATACATAATCATATAACCAATCAACAAACAAACAAGCAGATCTAAAGATCACTACCACATAACAACATCCCATATACCAGGACACAGATCTAACAGATCAATACAACATAACAACATCCTCTATACCAGGATATATAACCCGGTGGACCGACATTGGTGCCTTTGACCCACTAGTACCGTGAGGAAAACTCACCTCCCAGTCTGAAAAAATAGCTTAACAGGACACAACTCCGAATATCAGCTCTACCGGTCACCTAATAATTGGAAAATGACCAAACTTAACTATAAATCAAATACCCAAAATACCCATAGGTCAAACTTGGTCAAAATATGGTCAAAGTCGGAAAATCAAAAAGTCAGCTGAGATGACTCAGTTGAGTACGCCTAGCGTACTCAGCTTGTTCGCTTAGTGTACTCAAGGTCCAGATCGGACTCCCCAAGGGACTACGCCCAACGTACTCAAAAGTTTGCCTAACGTACTCGACCAAAAGTTTTTTTCCCATTAAGTGCTTAATTCCTTAAGTTCTTTCGTCCAAATGCATATCTAGCCCCTAAATATCATTCCCAACCATGAATAAAGTTGGATGAAGTTCTTCAAAATTAATAAAAGGACAAGGTGGGCCATTTTTGTGCACTCAATACGTCTAACACAAAAGGTTCACTGACACCCCCTTTTTTCATGCATACATTGCTCATATTTGCACCTTTTGTTTAGAAAGAAGTACAAGTTCTTTTTATGTATATTTTCTGAAGAGGAATGTGTGTCAAGTAAATATAATGTATAAATAAAAAACATGATAGAAAATAGAGATAATGAAACATGTTATAATTTTAAGAATTATATTGATGTCATAAAAAGCAAACATAATACAAATTGCATAAGCTATTGAATGTATTAAATGCCTTCATAAATAGTAATTCTCAAGTGGCCATTCATCTCTATTTCATGAATATCTCTTAATACACACGTTACATAGATACTTACTATTTATTTTTTACGATGGCATGTACAATCAATCGAACGAGGCACAAACATACAAATACAAGCCAATACATACAAAGCGACTCAAGTTTGGCTATACTAGTATAAAAAAAGGGAGACATGACTCCTCCCACGTCAGTTTTGTGACACCATCCCTTCAATTTTGATCTTTGCAAGACCAATGTTCTATACTTCAATGTGACGAGCCAAGCTTATTTCTAACAAAACACTTCAGACTCTGAACTACGTATCACATCATGAAAATCGGAAGGTACAATTTGCATATGTTTTAGTTGGCTTATAATAAACGAATGTGAATATACTTTAAATTGTATTGCATACTTGTCACAAACGGGGTCTGACTTGACAATAGGTTACACTGATTGCACTTGATATTTTATTATTTTAAGATATGCATCATAAGATAAATCAGATATGAATAACCCTTTATTCAGTGCCTTAGTTTATAATAAAGCCACCATGGTTCGACGTCATTTAGTGTCACCATCGGCCGATGCCATGGTTCGACCTATAGAGCCACCATGGCTAATCACCATGGTTTGGCATAGTGAGTCACCATCAACTCAGTGCCATGGTTCGACAAAAAAAAAGTCACCATGGTTCATCAGCATGGTCTGGCATCATTTAGTGTCACCATCGGTCGATGCCATGATTCGACCTGTAAAGCCACCAAGGGTAATCAACATGGTTTGGCATAGCGAGTTACCATTGGCTCACTGCCATGGTTCGACATAATACAACCAACCATGGTTTTCACACCGTGGTTCAACTTAATGTGGGTCACTTTGGTTTGAACACCATTTTTGCTACGATTCAACACATGTTAGTGAGTTGTTATTATTCATCCTTTAGCCTGATTAAGTTCGGCTAACCCCGAACCTATAATTGTTAATCTTGCAAGAGCCAGAAAGATATCTATAGATCTATCCGGGGCTGATACCCCTACCTACGATTTCTAGCTACAATCCCGGCAGGATAGCTTTCTTAAGTATAAAAATAATATTATGCGACGTCCGATGAAGCGTCGTGCGGAGTATATATCGGTCCATAACGTCGATTATAGGGTCTCATGATAATACTGTTTGGAAAATCTTAATTTAAACTGCCTAAATGGACACCTTCAAGTAGTTGTATGATTCGCTTAAAAAAGATTTGATAAAACTTATAAAAGTTTAGGACATGTATTATATCCTAAAAGAAAGATAGATCTTTTTTAAAGGAAAAGTATTCGAATTAAATAAAAAGGATAAAGCAGAAAACTATAAAAATCT